TGTAAGGCAAGACCTGAAGAAAATTATTTTTATTTGAAAAATGCTTACAGCTATTGATGTAGTCAAAGGAGATTCAAGTAAAAGTTTCAAGCTTAGGTAGAAGATAGGATTTGAGGAAGCAGGTGTAAATTGAAGAATACATTTAGGTATTTATTGGTGTTTTTGGTAAGAAGATACATGTGAAAGATTCAAAGTAATTTCTCAGAGTACGCAATGAAAAATATAATTTCCCACCCCAGATCCCTATCTCATTTCCCAGAAGTAATCAGTATATTATTTTTCTATTTTTTATCCTTTCAGAAAGTTTCCATGATAATACCCATCTCTTCCCCACAACAGTTTTAATCCTCTAGATCATCGGAGCACAACATATTCTGTTCTGTACTTGCTTCTATCATATTTATTCCAGAGACCTATCTTTCCATATTAATATTTTCTTAAATAACTGTAACCTCAGTATATTTAATAATGAAATCATTCTCTCCTAACTGCTTTTTAAAGTATGTTTCAGCTTAGAAGAAAGGGTAAATGGCATGTGTGTATGCACACACATGCATACGTGTGTGTGTGGTAGGGGGAGGCAATGGGAGATTTACTCAGTTCTCATAGCAATAGCCCAAAGCAATTTGAAATATAATTTCCTACCAGCAGTTCCTCTGGCCATTCAGACTCCCAGATCCTATAAATGCAATAAGATTGTGCCTGAGTTGGCTACGGGGAGGTCTTCAGGCTGTTTGCCTCTTAAGTAATTAGCCAGATTTAAACTTCAAAAAGCAAGTATTTAAAATTTTTACTTTTACATATTTTATAGGAAATAACCAAAGTCTTTCTAAGGAACTACAAGAGTACAAAAGTCATCTCATCTCTGCTCAAACACCTTTGGTGACAGTGACTTCCTTACTAAATATGACAATACCATCTGTCCCCTTGCCTCCAAAAGGAAACATTAGTTTGAACATTCTGTAACTTTTTGTTCAAATGCTTAATGGAGCTGGCAGGACAAAGATCCTCCATGTGGATGCCTGTGAAAATATGTCTTCACAGTAAGATGGGAGATATTTTACCCAGAAAGGCCACACAGCATAATGGCTCAGACTGAGGGTGCTGAACCCAGCTTGGTGAAATATTACATGCAGGCTCTGCATCTAGTAACCAAGTGAAGAGTGACAAGTTATTTATTTCATCTCTCTCTGCCTCAGATTCCTCATCTGTAAAATAGGGATAATACTACTGCCTACCTTCTAGAATTGTAAGGATTAAATAAGTCAAGGCTCATATAGTGCTTAGAATAATGCTTGCTAAGGTCAGCTAGGTGGCTCGGTTGTTTGAGGGTCTTGATTAGGCTCAGGTCAGGATCCCAGGGTCATGGGATTGAGCCCGTGTCCAGCACCTCATTCCCCTCCTTATCAAAGAATCCCCCAGCAAGAATAATTAGTAGCCTTTTAACCCTCTAGCTCAGCGATCAGCAAACTACAGCCCCATTGGCCATATCAGGCCCACTGCCAGGTTTTATTCAGCCCATGAGCTAAGAATGGTTTTTACATTCTTAAATGTTTGGATACTCTGGTTTCTCTTCAGATCGAATAAATCTTTCGCCTTTTACATTCTTAAATGGTTGGGGGAAAGCATCCATAAAAATATTTTATGACACATGAAAATTCTATGAAATTTCAAATTTCAGTTTCCAACTATTATTGGAACATAGCCACGCTCACTCGTTTACATGTTGTCTATAAATGCTTTCATTCTATATCAGCAGAGTAGTTGCAAAAGAGGATATAAGGCCTGGAAAGCCTGAAATAGTTACTGAGTTTGCCGACCCCTGCTCTAGATAATTTTGTCTCCTGAATCCGCTCCAGCTGGTCTTTATTGTACCCTAAGGTTCTCACTGCTGATACCCTAGTGGCTGACCAGAGGAAATTACCTACAAAGAACTTTCTTTTTTTTTCTATAACTTCCTCTTCAATATTACGGCTCTAAAGGATGAAGTGAATGCAGTGCTATACTGTTGAACTTAATGAGATAAAAAGAAAGGAGGAAGAGAGGGAGGGACAAGAGTAGAAAGGAGGAAATAGGAATTTTTAAATGTAACTTCTAAGAAAGATAATGATGGAATATTCTAAGTTTGGATGTTCTAAGAATGCATGCTTCAATTCTGGTAGTGTTATTTTTTTTTTTTTTTAAAAGAACAGCACAGTTTGTATTACTATTTATAAAGAAGACATAAGGATGTATATTCACAAACAGATAAAATGAAGTAGTGCTTTTCTTTTTTTAAAGTTTATTATTATTTTTTAGAATCTCTAGACCCAATGTGGGTCTTGAACTCACAACCCCAAGATCAAAAGTCACATGCTTTACTGACTGAGCAAGCCAGACACCCCAGTAGTGCTATTGTAATGTGAATTTGAATAGTTATCTAAATTTAACTCATCTTCCAATTTACACAGGAAGATTTTTTCAGCTCTTAGAGAATAAACACATCTATCTTAAGTACTAATCATTACTTCATAAGTGGACTAGTATTTAAGAAAACTATATGCGTTGTCAATGACTTTTTTTATTCTAAAAACAGCCTGCACTGTGTTATATAACAAAGTCTTTCAGCCACACACCTCAGCAGCCCTCCTCCCCTCCCTTCAGCTGAGTGCTAAGCCTCTCTCTAGTGCAAGGGCTGAAGGCCCATTTGGTCAGTGGAAAATGGTGCTGCCACTGGAGTTGTTCTGACTGTCACTAGACCATTTATTTTATGTCCTGCCTGTCCAGTGGCATGCTTTTTTATTTTTCAGCTTTATTAGGGCACAATTGACAAAACTGTAATATATTTAAAGTGTACAGTGTGACGACTTGACTCACATATTCATTGTGAAAGAATGACCACAACTGAGTTAACATATTCATCACCTCACTTTTTTGTGTGTGAGAACACTTAAGTTCCACTCTTAGCAATTTCCAATTATACAATATAGTATAATCGACTATAGTCACCATATTATACATTAGACCTCATTCACCTTATAACTGAAGATTTGTACCTTTTAACCAGCCTCTCCACCTTCCATTTTTATTCCTAACCTGGGAATAAATTTATATCATTTAAAGCAAGGCTTACTGGAGATACTTTGAATCTACAAAGCTTTTTCACATTCATTCTATCATACGACCTTCACAGCAACCCAAAGCAAGAAAGTGAAGCTCAGAGAATTGTTCAGAATTGCATAACTAATAAGAAGTGAGGCCAAGTTTTGAACCCACATCTTTTGGCCTCAAGCCCAGGGTGCCTTCCTGAATGATTTTAGTGTTTACTGTACCAGCTGGACAGATGGACATTGCTGGCTTTGACTCTGCTTGTGGGGACTTGGGCAAGTTGCTTACTCTCCCTGACTTCACGCAAATTGGAGAACATAACAGAAACTATCACACTAATTGTAGTGAGGTAATGATGCCATATGTGTGCAAAGTGCTCAGCAAGGTGCTGGACATCAGCACTCCTTCACTGTTAACTACTATTTGCAATATGAAATGATGAAGGTCTATGAAGGCCTAGTTTAGATGATAAAAATGTCAAAGAGACGAGCCATAAAAGAATTTACAAAAGATGCTTAGGCCTTGGACTCATCATTGGAGAGAAGAGTTAGCAATGACAAAGGGCAAGAGACTGGAAGAGCAGTGTTGCCACTGACAAAGGAAATGGAGACGCTGACAGAGGGAGAGATGCCCTAAATCCAGGGAATAGTGTGGCCTGCAGAATGGAGCGTAGATGGAGGCCATTCTTCCAGATGGTGGTTGTGTCATCTGAAGGGAGGTAGTCACTGACATTATCAGATGAGCCATCAGGTGAGGAGACACTGAGGAAGAACAGCAGAGAACTAAGGACTGGACTTTGAAATCAGCCAACACTTGGAGTGCAGCAAGGGGCAGGCAGACATGAGATGACTGAGGTCTGGATGAGCAAGGAGCATGATGCACATACTGGAAACAAGTGGGGAGACTTACCAGGAGGAGGGGAAGTGGGGAGCAGCATTAACTTAAGCTCAGACATCAGTGAGGACAAAGAAGTCGCCAGGGTTGGTAGAACGAAGGGGATAATACTTCATACACAATCATGACAGTTTGTCCATTAGTGTCTCTCACTACTGCTGCAGCTTACAAAAATGAGTCTAGGAAAGGTTGCTCAGGGAACCTGGGTGGCTCAGAAAGTTAAGCGTCTGACTTCAGCTCATGTCGTGATCTTGCTATTCCAGGGTTCTAGACCCTCGTTGGGCTCTGCGCTGACAGCTCAGAGCCTGGAGCCTGCTTCGGATTATGTCTCTGTCTCTCTCTCTGTCTCTCTGTCTCTCTCTCTCTGCACCTCCCCCACTCGTGATCTGTCTCTCAAAAATAAACATTAAAAAAAAGAAAGAAAAGAAAGGTTGCTCACTGAGGAGAACACAAGTAAATATATATGGGGATGAACTCACAAGGTTGGCAGAGGAACTGCGCCTCCTGTGGCCTTCCTGACTCCCATTTGGAACCTAAGAACCTTTTTTTCAGGCCTTTTCTCTCTTGGGACCTGTACCAGGCTCTAGATGAACATTTCCCCATGTTATTGTCACTTCAACCCTCAAAGGCGTTATCTCATTTTCCAAAAGAGGTCATGGAGTCTTCGAGGACTTCTCCAAGGTCAGCCAGTGAGTGGCCAAGCTGAACCAGCGGAATCGGCCCAGTCTAAGGCCAGAACTGCACCCGCCCCGCGCCCCTGCCCTGCCGGGTCAGGCGCCCCCAGCGCGAGGCAGGGCTTCCGGACACTTGCAGCCCTCGTCGACGTTGCGAGAAGCGAAGTGGCCCAGCAGCGCAGGGGACGGCGGACGCTCCCAACAAGTCTGGCGCGGACTCCCGCGCTCGCTAGGACTGCGGGGCGAGGCCCAACGGCAGAGCGCCAGGCCCCGGTGTCCTGGCAACAGGTAAACACTGAGCCGCCCCGCCTCCCGCGGCGCGCGGCGCCGGGCGTTCGTGCGCGCGGCCGGCAGACGCCCGTGAGCCCGGGCGTGCTCGCCGTGAGTCGCGCGGCCAGCGGCCTCCGTGCGGTGGGTGCCCCCTGACCCCGCCGGGCTCCCCTAAGCGTCTGGGGCTCCTGAGAAGTGTGGCGAGGTCCCGGGCCTGCGACGGTTCGCTGGGGAGTGCGGAGGCGGCCCGGTGCGCGGCAGGGATGGGCGCGGGGGCGCCGCCCTCGAGTGAGGCGGAGAACCGGGCTCTCTCTGTGTATTTCAGGATTGGGAACCCATGCCACATTCACCTGCTCAACTGAGGAATTACCATGGTAATACGCTTAAATATACTTATTTAAGTCTAAGAGATTCCGAGGCTCTCGCTTAGTTAAGTTAATACCGTTCTGCCTCATCGAGGCACGCTTTACCAAGGTCTGTTACCCGCGCCACGAGATTGGCGCCTTCGTCTCCTGTCGTTGTAGGTGGTTGTCCAACCTAGTGATTTGAACACTTGGGGTAAAAAGATGACGGGGGAGACGGGGTTCCCCAGGTGGTCTGCGCGCATCAAACGGACAGCCAAGTAGAATCAGGCAGAGCCCTCTTTTTGTGAGTTAGTTTTCGTTCTTTGGTTCCGTTGAGGCACATCCGTAACCATATGTGTGGGCAATAAAGAGAGGCTGGTGCCGTGCTGTGAAACCCCAGGGTGCCAGTACGTGTCAACAGCGACTGGCCCGGCACTTACCTCCTGCTGCCGCTGCCGTCCTGGGTCCCTTGCAGGATTCTTTGCGGATTAAGAAGTAGAAAATGAGCCCAGGTGCGATCCAGACTGCCGGCTCTAACGAGTGATTCTCTCTTCCAACCCTAGTTTGAGGAAGGACTTTGGAGGAAACCTTTAGTGCAGGAAACTCTTGCATTTTATGCCCCAGAAGGCTTGCAACATCCTTAAACTTCTATCTCCCCTCCAAGTCGTTGGCTCACAGAGCTCCATCTTAAGCCAAACCACTCTGAAATGATAAACCTTATTTCCAGCTTCCTACTGGATCTGTCCACCAGAGAGCATTTCCCAACTGTGTTCAAAATCCAGCTCGTTTTTAACCACTACCTTCTCTGCATTTTCCAATGGCACGTTCATTCTCCTGGCCTCAAACTCATAAGCATTACAGTTCATCAGCCCTCATCCAGTCATTCACCTGCTGCCCACCCTCACCGCCCCCGGTCACATCCTGGCCTCCTTACCACCTACCTGGAATCCGGCAGCAGTTCACTACCTCTGTCCCAGGGCTTTCCATCCCTTTGGTCTTCCTTCTTTGCCAGGTTGATGGTCCCAACATGGCTGTGACCTTGTAACCCCCGCCCCAGGTGCTCAGAAATTTCTACTGTCTGCTCAACTACGTACTTCTCAGAGCTCTGGGTAAAGGGGCCCCAACCTCTTGAACTTTATTTACTATATTCTCTGCTTTAACCAAAACAAAAAAACACATTCCACACTAGACCCACATTCTTCTTGAAGCCTCCTGCCCCATCTCCCATCAAGCTACTGATCTACTTTTCTTCAAGATGGGCCCTCCTGCTGCCTTATTGCTTCCTAAGCATCTATGACCCTCTAAACCTCCCAGAGCTTCACCTGTTTCACCTTGGAAAGCCTCACTCCTCACCCGCATTGACCGTAGTATAGGCACTAAATAGATGTCTCTTGATTTAAATTGTGTCATTCCCCAGGTTACGGTTACTTTGCATGGTTAGTATTGTCATTCGCTTTCAGAGCCCAGGGAATTGAAGCAAAAATGGTTTAATAAAGCCATTTAAGCTAATGGATTTCCACTGCTACTTGGATAAAGGTTAAATACCTTAGCTTCAAAGGCCTGCAGGCCAGAGTTACACACTGCCTACCTCTCCAGCCTAAATTCCTCTCACTTTGCGCCCCGCACCATGGTTGCTTATAGGCCAGTCACACTGACCTTTTTTGTGAGGTCCCTGCAGTTCGTTATGTTCCCTCCAACCTCAAAGCCTTTGCACAAGCTGTGTGGGAAGTCCCTGACCCTCAGCCCACAGGTGGCTCTTCAGGAACCCTTCATGTCCCAGATGACATCACACCCTACCCATCCTGGGTCATCGGAATGCCAGTTCTCCTGGCATCTCCTTCACAAGACAGAGAGTAAATGTGTTTGTAATTTCCCCCTCACTGGACGGTAAGCTTCATGAAGACAGGAGCCCAGAACTGCAGGTCCTGGTGCTCAGTAGATATTTGTTAAATACTTGTTGAATGAATGAAGGAGGCCCTCTTCAAATTCAGATAGGTGGCTATCTATGTTTGCTTTCTAAATCCTAGGACTGTATTATATCTGAGTTGCAATCTATTCACTCAGCCGATATCTTTTTCATACCAGACATTGGTCGAGGCCCTGGGAATTCAAGTGGTGACCTCATAGACAAACCTCTGGTTGGGAAACAAACAGAAAATAAATAAGCAAATTAGCACTATGACATAGTGGAGTGTGCTTGGGGTAAGGAGCTAGAAGGTGAAGGTGCTGAGAGGGATGCTGGGAAACATCTGTACCCCCTCCCTGCCCCTCCCTGGGACAGTCCCACTTTGTGTTTGTTGAAGTGTCTTGGTTTGGACAATAAATTTTATGGTCACCCTACTTATAGGTAGAATATAGACCTAGTATCTGAGAGGTTTTTCTAGAGAGGTGATATCTGAGCAGAGATAGTAACACATCATGGCCCCCCCACCTCACCAAGGTCTGCAGAAAGGGGCAGGGGCAGGGAGGAGTGGGGCAGGTCGGGAACTAGGAGGAAGGCCCGCGTGGCTGGAGCCAGGGGGCTCCATTAAGGAGTCTGGAGAGTTTCAAGTCACGAGTTACGTGCTCTGCGCCTACGAACAGCCAAGGCCCATGGAGTTGTATTAAACCAACCCAACGAGCTGAGAAACTGAAAGCTTTCACTCACTTTCAATAATTTCTTAACAGATTTACTGAGATGTATAAGTGATGTACAGTAAATTGCACATATTATAACGTACAATTTGGTAAGTTTGGCATATGTATGCTCCCATTAAGCCATCACCACGATCCAGATAACAAACATGTTGATCACCCCTAGAAGTCTCCTTGTGCTCGACTGTAATCAGCCCTTTACTCAATTTTTTAAAAATATTTATTTATTTATTTATTTATTTATTTTGACAGAAGGAGTAGAGAAAGCCAGAGAGGGACAGAGAGGGAGAGAGAGAGAATCCCAAGTACTGACAGTGCAGAACTCAGTGCTGGGCTCAGTCCCACAGTCATATGAGATCATGACCTGAGCCAGAATCAAGAGTCAGATGCGCACTTGATTGAGTCACCAAGGTGCCCCAAATTTTATTTTTTTAAATTTTTAATGTTTATTTAGTTTTGAGAGAGAGATAGAGCATGAGCAGGGGAGGGGCAGAAACAGAGAGAGACAGACAGACAGACAGAATCCGAAGCAGGCTCCAGGCTCTGAGCTGTCAGCACAGAGCCTGACTCGTGGCTCGAACTCACAAACCGTGAGATCATGACCTGAGCTGAAGTCAGACACTTAACCAACTGAGCCACTCAGGCACCCATCAAGATTTTATTTTTTAAATAATGTCTGTACTCAACATGGGACTTGAACCCACAATCCTGAGATCAAGAATCAAATATTCCACCAACTGAGCCAGTCAGAATTATGTTTAAATTCACCCATGTTGTAGCATGCATCGATAGTTAATCCTTTTTATTGTTGGATGGTATTCCAGTGTATGGTGATACCACAGTTTGTTTATCCATTCACTCAGGAATGGACTTTTGGGCTGTTTTCAGTTTTTAGTGATCACAAATAAAGTTACTATGAACATTCCATGTACAAGTCTTAGAATGGATATACACTTTCATTTCTTTTGGTAAATACTTCGAAGTAGAATGGCTGGATCATTTGGGAGGTATGTGTTTGACCTTGTAAAGATATTGCTAACTTGTTTTCCAGAATGAGTCATTCATGCCAGGTTCCCACCAGCAGTGTATGAGTTCCAGTTCCTCCACACCTTCACCAACCCTTGGAATGGTCAGTTTTTGCAAACTGAATCATTCTAATGAGTGTGTACTGGTATCTCATTGGGGTTTTAATTACATTTCCCCCGTGACTTGATGTTGCGTATCTTTTCATGTGTTTATCAGCCATTTGTATATCTTCTTGGGGGAAGTATCTGTTCAGATCTGCTGGCCATGTTTTATGGGGCTGTTTTTTTGTTTTTTTTTACTGCGTTTTGAGAGCCCTTTATTCTAGATATAAGGGCTTTATCATATATTTGATTTGCAAATATTTTCTCCCAGTCTGTGGCTTAGCTTTTCATTTTCTTTTTAAAAAATTTTTAATGTTTTTTATTTATTTTTGAGAGTCAGAGAGAGAGAGAGCACAAGCAGGGGAGGGTCAGAGAGAGAGGGAGATATAGAATCCAAAGGAGGCTCCGGGCTCTGAGCTAGCTGTCAGCACAGAGCCTGACGTGGGGCTTGAACCCATGAACTGTGAGATCATGACCTTAGCCAAAGTCAGACACTTAACCAACTGAGCCACCCAGGCACCCCAGCTGTTCATTTTCTTAACAATATCTTTTGAAGACCACAAGTTTTTAACTTGGGTGGTGAATCTATCAATTTCTTTTATGGATTGTGCTTTGGTGTCATATCCAGGAAAATTTTTGCCTAACCGAAGGTCATAAAGGTTTTCTCCTGTATTTTCTTCTCTCTGTCTGTATATATCTCTCTCTGTCAAAATACAGCCTAGAGGATTAGTGGTGATAAAGTGATGGGAACAATCATTTATTGTTTCCTTCAAGACAGACACTATGCTAAGCACCTTACATTCATGACTCCACCCTCATGACTAATGAGGTCCAGACTACAACATAAAAAATGCCAAAAATGTGTGTTTGCATCCTGATTAGCTAGTGCTTTTAATTACATTTTTATTATGAAAGATTGTATACACACACAAAAATAGAATAGTAAGTGATTCCCCATATATCCATTTCTCAGACTCAAAAATTGTCATGATTTTGCCACATTTGCTTCACCTTTCCTTTTGCAGGGTGGGGTGCAAGAGGGAGCTGCAGTATTTTTTTAATTAAGAAAATTGTTTTTTAAAGTTTATTTGTTTATTTTTGAGAGAGAGAGAGACAGAGAGTGAGCAAGCAGGGGAAAGGTAGAAAGAGAGGAAGACAGAATCCCAAGCAGGCTCTGTACCGTCAGCACAGAGCCTGATGTGGGGCTCGAACTCAGAAACCATGAGATCATGACCTGAGCCGAAACCAATTGTTGGATGCTTAACCAACTGAGCCACCCAGGTGCTCCTGGAGCTACAGTATCTTAAAGCACATCTGAGGCCTTCTTTCATTTCATTTCCACAGATTTTAGCATGCATCTCTGAAATGTGTAAACATTTTCTTCCGTGACCCAATAGAATGCCATTATCACCCCTAACAAAATTAAAAATTTCGTGACATTACTAAATTTCCCTAATGGCCTAAAAATGTCTTTTTATGGTTTGTTCAAATCAATGCAGACAAGGTCCACCTGCTCATTACCTTAGGCTGCGTCTCTTTTTAATCCTGGTGCTTCATTTGTTGAATTCGACTGCGTGTGACCTCTCCTCCCACTCCAAGCAAAAGTTTTTATTGTTGTTACAGTTTTTCCCTTTCGTGGGTTTTCCACACCCCCGCCCCCCACTCAGTTCAATAAGAAATGTTGAAAATTATGTCAAGGTTACAAAAACTAATGTATGCCCCGTGAATATACTTGTCTTTGAAAGCCAGGTAAAGCGAAACAAGGAAAAGGCCCGGACAAATCTCAGGGGAAGAAACAGAAGAAACCAGAAGTGGACATTCTCAGCCCAGCCGCCATGCTGAACCTCTACTACATCGCCCACAACGTTGCTGACTGCCTGCACCTGCGAGGCTTCCGTTGGCCAGGTGCTCCCAAATCAAAGAAGGGGACAAACAAGACTTAATGGCGTTTTTCACGGAGAGCGGAACTTGGGGAAGAGAAATCAGGATAACACAACTACTGCAAGCAAAATAGACTTTGCCGAAGACAACCTGAGACGCAAGCTAAGTGTGCTTTTCTGTGGTAGTTAATGATAAAGAAATGCATTTTACTTCCCAGCTAAATTCAGCTATCGTTAGTCAACTTGGTTTTTCAGAAGAAGTTAAGGGGGAAAAAGAGTCGGAGTAATTCCTACTCGGGAATTGTGCGGTGGAATTGGTAGGATTTTTTAAATTATTATAATTCTGGGTCAGAATTAAACCTCATTCCCAAAAGGCAGTTCTGGCTTGCATGAATTGTTTTCTTTTGCCCAACGGGGTTTGTTATTTAGAAAAGGCGTGGCAAAAGGCATAGGATTTGCTTATGAACGTCCCTCTCTTAGGCACTGTTTCCTTTCCCCATCTTTTTCAGGAAAAATAATAGGTACTTTTTTTCTATAATTTTCTTCTCAGCAGTCTGACTCTTGGCTGCTTTTAATTAGCCAGGGGCAGCCGTGGAGACTGAGGTTGTCACCCCTGCTCTGACTTTGCTGGGACATATACACAAATGACTCAAAGGAGTGTGTTCTAGTGGGAGGAAATGAGCAAATCAGCACACAGCTCTCCCTTTCTGTCTCACTGGACTCTTCACCGCGCTCTCCTCCACACTTACATCTTCTCCTCCACTTTCTGCAGCCTTTCTTTTAACCTTGGCTGGCCCTGGTTTATGGAATTGGTGCTCGAAGCTTGCCATGGGCATGCTGCTGATCTCTCACAGCCTCCCCAGTCTGTGCCGAGACACTTAGGAGATAAAACTGCAGCTCTTTCTCTTTAGTCCAAAAGGCCTCCAAGCGCCAAATGTGACACTTGGAAGGAAAGGCATTTTGAAGTATAAGCACCATCTCTGGATCACTTAGCATTCCATCCCTGCTTCTGCTCTGTCTTCCTGGCATGTCGTGTCACCCCCCCACCCCCCAACACTGACACCTGCTCTGTGGTCTCTAGTCACAGCTGTGAGCCTGAAGCTGATTCCTCAAAGGCAGCACCTGTCCGGGGACGCTCTAGCTCGTCTGAATTGCTTATAATGATTCCACAGGTTGCCTTGTGAGGATCTCAAAGACTCACGAAGTCTGCCAAGGAAGGCTGCTACCTAGGACTTGGGATTTCATAAATATCAGAGAAAAAGGGAAATCATGCGAAACCTTGTACTAGAGAAGTTGGGTGCGTCTGTTGGGAATGACAGTCGTCCAGCTGCTGCATCTGTGCAGACTCTGTGAGACCTTAGCTAGTTGTCAGAGCAGCCCTCGCTTGCTGGGCTGAAGGTTGGTGCTGCTGTTAACCTGAAGGGGGGCCCTCTCAGTCCTCTGCTGAGGCTTTGGAAAGGAGCACCTTCCCACTCGCCTAGACACCGCTGGGATGGATCCAGGCGCTTTATGGTTGTGAACACACTAACCCGGTTCAGTCCTTCATGAGCGTGCATCATGGTCACCTGGAGGACGTGTCAAAGCACAGACCGCTGGGCCCTACCCTGCAGAAGGGTGAGGGTCGGGCATTTGCCTTCCCACTAACCCTCCTGGTAGTGCTTCTGCTGGACCACAGCCTTGGAGAAGCGCTGCTCTAGTTAGTGCTCCCGAACCAGGTGCTAAGGGGCTAGTTGAGTCTTTAAACTCGTAGGATGTCTAAGGCCCTTCTCTGCCTCGCTTGGGTAGGCGCTAGTATCTGAGCAGTTTATTGGAGTGCCGGGGAGGTGGCGTCTTCTTTCTGATCTTGTCCCCAGCATAGATGACATTATTTAGGGGCCTACAGAGACATGCCAGGCAGCAGACGTTGAAAGGCTAAGGAGATAACTGAAAGCGGAAGTGCTTTCTTCTCTTGACATAGTTAAATGATGAGCAGATAGGCTAGTAAGCACTGGAACCGAGGAAGCACTAGTCTGATTGGATCGGGCACAGTTGACGCCAAACGAAGGGGGCTGATGCACAGGTTCTATCCTGAGGAGGGCAGTTAGTTTCCGGTTCACCTTGAATGATGTGCCCGCCTGATCAGGCCGGCTGCTGCCGCTGTATCCTCCCTCTGCGCTCCACACAGCCCTGCCTCCTGAGTTCTGCTTCCTGTAGGTTTCTGCTTTTCTCCAACTTCAGCTTGTTGGGACCCCTGTGGGTCCAATTGGAGCTTATGGTCTCTCTCTCTGCTTCCTTCAAGCATCAGCTTCCTACATGCCTCATTCTCTGGGTCTTTACAGGACAGACTCTGATGGACCCACCTGGTCCTGCAACAGACCTGGCTCTGTCCTAGCAGCCAGTGGATGGAGCTGTTGGGGGTCTGGGGCCTCCCACTGGTCCAGCCAGCTGTGCCTGAGGGATAGGACTGGTATTACTGGTCAGGTATTACTAAACACGGACAACGCAAGATGACTCTTCATGGGATGGGATGGGGGGGTGAGTATTAGTGTGGGTGACAGGAGTGCTTTCTTTCCTCCTCGCTGCAACTCATCCCTTCTTAGACAAGATCCTGGAAAGAATTTGCTTATGCATTTTTCTTCACTTCCTCACCTTTCTGGCACACATTTTTCCTCTTACCTTTTTTTTAAACACCATTTTTGTATTTTTTAAAATCCCAAGCCTATAGAAAGATAGAAAAAAAAAGTACACAGACCCTTTACCTAGACCAGGATTCTCAGCCTTGGCACCATTGACATTTGGGGCAGGATAACTCGTTATTGTGGGAGCCTGTCCAGTGCATTGTGGGATGTTTATCCTGACCTCTCCCCACTGGATGCTAGTAGCATCCCTTCAACTGAGACAACCAGAAATATCTCAGACATCACCAAATGTCCTTTGGGACACAAAATAGCCTTCAGTTGATAACCACTGAGATTCAGGAACTAACATTTTGTCATATTTGCACATGCACACATACTGTGTGTATACATGTACCCATATGCAAATGTGTATATGTTATATACATGTGATACAAATATATGTATATACATGTAAATATCCATATATGTATGTATATATTTTTATATACATATAATCATAGTGAGCAAGTGTGGCAAAATATTAATTTTATGGATCTCTATAATTATATTATACAAGTATACGTATTATGTATGCATGTGTGTGTACTTTACATACATATAAAGAGAGTGCAAATGTGGCAACATGTTAAAATGTATATTTTATACACACACACGCACACACACATATATATGCATACTTTTTTCCTGAAACATTTCAAAGTAAGTTGCATACATCATTACCCTTCCTCCTAAATACTTAAGCTCCTTGGACAAGGATGTTCCAGTACGTAACCACAATGAGATTATCATGGCCAAGAAATTTACATCAATACAGTATTATTTTATAGCCTGTATTCATTTTTTCCTAACTATCTCAATAATATTCTTTATAGATTTTTGGTCAGCAATGTATGTGTCATGATCATGTAGTTGTGTCTCTGTAGTTTCTGTTAATCTGAAAAAGTTCCCCACCATTTTTTATTCGTCTTTTATGACATTGAAATTTTTGGGATGTCCTCTCTTTTCAACCCACTACATTGAGACTTCTGCCTGTACAGCTCCGGTAAAATCACTTGGTAAGCGCTGTTCCATCAATGCTCCAATCCATGGATTGCAAACCATACCATCATTTTATATACCACTAAGAAATGGGAGGAGCCCATCACCAATTAACAATGAAATACCATCAGTTTTATGATACATTGTGTCCAAATGTGAAAAAACAAGTGTCTTTGAAGGGATAGAATATGGTAATTGTTGAAGCCAATGCTGTGCTCGCATCCCTTCCCTTCTTGAGATGCCCTCTGTTGACTTCTTTGATGCTATCACTCCCGTCTTTGACTGTGCTTCTCCATCTGTTTGTGCTTCTCTCCTTCCTGCCCATCGGGTTCTCCCCATGCTGCCCCACCTTGGCTGTCCTCACTTTTCTCCTTCCCACTCCCCACCCTCCTCACCCTCAGCGATGGCACCAGGGTTGGGCACCGGCCTATAAGCCATGAGCTTGCTGAATCAGACCTTCTCCCTGGGAGACATGAGGTGGCCTTGGAAAATCTAGGGAGAGGTCCTGCAAGCACTGGGGATTTGGAACTGGGGCTCAGAAGATAAATACTGGCCAGGAATGTAGGTTTAGGTATATTTGATGGAAGCTCCCCGTTGGAATCAAAGGCTGGTCAGTTGTAGAAATAAGAAAGGAGCGCAGAGTTAGGAGCCTTGGGGAAAGTCTCCTTTCTTAGGGGCAGAAGGAAGAAGAGGGACTGTCACAGAGAGAATTACAATATTTAAAAAAAATTTTTTTTTATGTTTTATTTATTTCTAGGAGAGAGAGAGAGAGAGAGAGCATGAGCAAGGGAGGGTCAGAGAGAGAGGGAATCACAGACTGAAACAGGCTCCAGGCTCCGAGCTGGCTGTCAGCACAGAGCCCGATGCGGGGCTCGAAGCCACGAACCGCGAGATCATGACCTAAGTGAAAGTCGGACGCTTAACCGACTAAGCCACCCAGGCGCCCCAGAATTACAATATTTTAAATGTTTTTTTTAAATTTATTTTTGAGAGAAAGCGTGCAAGCAGGGGAGGGGCAGAGAGAGGGGGACAGAGGACCCGAAGCAGGCTTTGCACTGACAGTAGTAAGCCCAGTGTGTGGCTTGAACTCACAAACCATGAGATCATGACCTGAGCCAAAGTCAGACACTCAATCCACTGAGCCACCCAGGTCCCCCAGGACTGTCATGGCTAGAGGAGGGGGAGGAGAAAGGAGAGGAAACCTGGGAGAAAAGGGGGTGATCTGTGGGACTGCATGCTGCAAAGATGTCAGGGAGGGTGAGAGAATGGGAACAGGGACCATGATCTGTTGCGTGAGGGGTCCTCCTGTGTCGGTATCCTCCATATAATAGGGGATGGACATGAATGTGGAAGGGAGGAAAGAGGGGCTTCGCCTGTGCACACATTCAGTCCTCCTCCTGTCAGAATCCAGGTCGCCCCTGCTGCCGTGCGTCCTTATCTTCCCCTGGTGGTGGGAAAACGCAGCGTGTGTCCCTGAGTTTCTGTGAGAGCCCAGAGACGCCCTTGGTTGAAGCTGGGCCACCCTGGCGGCCAGGTGCTCCTGGTGGCTGGGCAGACGTGCAGGCAGAGCCACCTGCTGGTGGCTTTGGGGGCTGCATCATGTTTTGTTTTGCTGGTCAAAGTCAATTTCAGATTGATTTTCTCCTCACTTGACATTCTCTACCTCATACAAATCCTGTGTTGGCTGTTGCCCTCTAAAAATATGATATGATCATGTTACT